TGACCAATTAGTGCTTACTGAACCGTAGCACTATGCAAATGTGATGTGGCGTGATTCCCAGCCGACCAATTAGCGATCACCAGCGATAACATTATGCAAATCTGTGATTCCCAAGCCATAGTCTTATGCAAATCATGCCGTGTGGCGTAATTGTCTGCTGACCAATCAGTGGCTGTACTTTCAAAAAGCCAACGGCCACTTTCAACCATCTGTTGATGACCGTTACGACTAAAAAAAAAAACTTCGCTAGGTCTTACTTTCAGGGGGAGGTCTTATATTTCGCAATTCGGCAAAATCTGTGCTAGGTCTTATTTTCTGCGGATGTCTTATTTTCGGGGAAACACGGTAGTTAAAAGTATAAAAAGTTTTTAATAAAATATGATAACAGATGGCGCCACCAAAATTTTAAATGTTGCCGGTAAAGTTGAATAACTCGTTGCTGGTTTATTTATTTTTAGAATTTTCTGAATATATTTTACACTTCAGTTTTCACATATCTAATAATTGGACTGTAATTTTCAAACTACATTTCCACTCTCGTCCACCAGTCCATTGGCCCGCCTGTCTTTCGTTGATCTCGAGAGGAACTGGATGAAATTCAAGACCAGATACGGAAAGCTTATTTTTAAATTGTTTGTTAAATTAAAAAAAATCATTAAAATTATAAGATATTTTATTATTTAGCATTTAGGTTTTTCCAATAAAATTTAATTAAATAGTGGAAGTAGTTGACGATGACGTAGACTCTTCGTATATTATTCTTTTATCGTGGCCTCGAACGTAAAATATTCCGTATATAACAACCTCTAGCTGTATAAAAATAATAAATTAAATAAATATTAACAGTTAGTTATTTAACTATTAATTAAATAATTAAATGTATATTTATAAAATTTCATTGTGTTTGATAATTTTAAACTGTAAATAATTTTATATATTGCTAACGAATATTATTTATTTTAAAACAATCTTCTTATACTTTACACAATGAAATTATACGCAATTCTTTTAGTCTCACGTTATTTGCTTAAGTATAAATTTTCATGTTGGATTAGAACTGAAAACAGGTTAAAGCCATATACTGTACTGTATTTCATAAATACTGTATATTTTGACTTCACAAATTCTGATTGTTTAGAAAACTAGATTAAAGAGTGTAGACAAAAACATTGTACCAAGCTTCTGCTACGTATTAGAGAAAAACAAATGCAGGAGTTTATAGATAATGAGTAGTGGAGTAATCGCCATACACCGCCATATCCTTTCTCATGGAGCCAAATCTTATAGTGGCTCAGTTAAATTACAAAATTGAAAGAGTCTCAAAATTAGTACAAAATGTTTCTTTTTCCGGTTTAAAAAATACTCAAAAAGGCATTTAGCAACGAGGCCATGTAGAGAAGCTTCACACATTCGGTGTCTAGTCGTTTCTCCTTGTTACGAGGAAAAATCCTATTCTTTTTTATAGAAGCCGAGATAGGATTTGTCCCAATAAGAATAACCCAATGTACCGTCTTGCACCGCCGATACCAGGCAGCGGTGCGTGATGATTACGTCATAGAATAGCTCACTATTGATTACCTATACTCTCGTGCACTTGTATTTCGCTAATATGTAGAAGAAGCAAGATGTAGCTTTATTTAATTTTTTTTTAGCTAAATCCTGTATAATTTACTAATAAAATAACTCTCATGTTACAAGTTTTTTCAGATGTTATTATTCGCACTTATATTTTAAGCAATTTGTAACTAGAATTTCTCCTATTTTTTTTTTAAGGAAAACTAAATTTAAAATGTAAAACTTTACATAAATATAATAAATGAATTTCAGTAAATAATTAAATTTATAATAGCTTTAATTTATTTATAACGAGATAAAAGTGCGAAAAACTTCAATTTTTCGTAAGTCAAATTTTGAAACTATTTAATAAATATTAAAAAATTCATTTATAAGTTCATTTTTTGATATATTTTAAATACATTGCAAATTATTTATTTCTGTAACAATGAAAAAACAGCAATGATTTAAATTTGTTTTATTATCCTACAAAGTTAAATAAAATTAATAAATTTTTAAGCGCATTAGAACCCCTACTTTACGACCTATCACTTTACAATATCCTTTTTACTCGTATCAATTTTCTGGCTGATTGAAATGCCCTATTTTATGTTAGCCTTCTTTGTGTTTTACTATGTAATTAAAGTTTTTCTGGAAATATAATCTCAATTTGTAATATATAGCTTAAGAAATACGTGGTTCATTTTACGACAGCATTCCAAAGACTGTTACTATAATCAATACGAAAAAAAGTTAAGAAGAAACTGTTGAAATTTCTTCATATTTTATTTTATTTGTAACATTACAGTGTCTGAGCGTTGATATTTTATATATTCGTATTATTTATTGTGTGATATCAGCGCAATATTTGTAAATTATTGATAAAACTAATAAATATGTGCTCTTCAAATAATATATACTTTATATTTTATATTTTAACCTGTATATCTTTTATACATTTAAATAATATTGCAATAAATTGATAAATTCTGTATACATGACTATGAAAAACGACATTTTTGTAAAAAATACGTCGAATATTCAAATATATTGATATATAATTTGATATGAACTGTAAATTTATTGATCGGACAATTTAATAATTTTACAAATACATTATTTTAAGAAGAAGCAATATCATTACCTCAAGTAGACCTACTATAGAATTCGTTACGACGTACATATATATTGCTATATCCACATAAAACAACAATCTATTGTAGCATCCTTGTTGAAATACTTTTTTCTAAAAATAATAATTATTATTTTGAATATTTTACTAAAAATTTATTAATTTATAATTTTAAAATTTAAATATATATATTAATCAGTTACATATCCTCTCAATGAAGGACTACATGGTTCTGTACCAAAGCCATAACAACACGATTCTGGTAAAATCATAGTCCTTAAAGCCAATAACCAATCGGTTAAAGTTTCAACTCCACAACACGCTTTCTAAAAACAAAACAAAAAAGATATTTTTATGTTATTTATGTATTTGTATAAAGTATGCCAATTTTTGTATAAAGCAGTGATTCCCAAAATGGGCCCCTTAGATCTTCTACCGCTCTCAAGGGGCTACTGTTCCTTTGAAGATCCAAGGGGGTGCTGGAAGGCAAAGGAGGTAAGGGTGGTGGATGATAAGAGGGATTAAAATTCATTCTGAAGCAAACAAATATACAATGGTAGTCGAAAAAGTTTGGGAAACACTGTCTAAAGAGATCGACTGACGGTTGATTGAAATTTATCCCATTCGTGTTTGGTTGTGTTATCTTTCGAATAATTTTTCATCGATTCGTGCATTTTCTCAGCAATTATATAATAAATCTGAAAAAATCATGTTTAATTAAAGAAATCATCTGTTAATCTGTTAATCTGAAAATCATTCTCACCTTCTCTTTATTTCTAACCAATGCGATTCCTATCGAAATCTGTACAATTAACAGCCAAGAAAGAATTATACTAATCTAAAAAAAACGAGAATTTTTTTTCAAATCATAATTTACGTTTAATAACATGAGTTCTCACCGTTATTATGCAGCACGCATTTCTGCAACAAGCTGCACAATTTGATAGAAAAGACAGGATGGAAATTGCACCACCGATAACCATGACACATAAGGGAAGAAGACGCAAGACGTTATTTACGAAACTTGATTTGCTCGCTATTTCTTCTCGTACTAGTTTACCACTCATGAATATCACAACACCTCCAAACTGCAGATGTATTAAAATATTTTAAAGATTTGTATAATAAAGACTATAAGTTTAGAATATACTCGTAAGATTACATTACTAATTTAATCATTTATAAAGTAATTTATTAACTAAATAATCCAAAATATTAACACATTTTAAGGCTATTTGGCCGTACACAATTATTGTGATTAAGCATGGGGTCAACTCGCAATGTCATGGGTGAGGAATGAAGAACGATGGTGTTGCATTTTATTTGCATTGTTATAAATATATTGAAATATGTAATCAAGTAGTATTTTATATATAATTTTTGTTATCTCTATATGATACGTTATGTTATGTTAAGCGTTAGTATTAATACTAACCATGAGTAGAGTATCAACAATAAATGTAACACAACGAGCCACTGAAAATTCTTCTCCAAACCACCTTCCATTGCACATATTTCAATATTATTTCTTTACTTATACTAAATTGAAATAAAACAATTATTTACATTTATATTATTTAATAATAAACGTTTAATAATCGAAATGACAAGGAATAATCTCCCATTGTAGGCTCAATTTAGAATTGTTTTTGTATTTAGTTAGATTTTACTAAGATTATAAAAATATGAAAAAAGGGAGAGAAACGGCATTTATCTTCAAATAAAATATTAAGCTTAAGGTATTTTAGTGATAATGTTAGAAGGAGCTTAATATTAAGCTTGTTAATCTTACGAAGGAGCCAAATTGATTCGTTATGACTTCATTTTATGATATTAACTTCAAAATGCTACGTTTTACATTGAATAAATTAATAAACATTTAATACGAAATAAAAATATATCTGGAAAAAAATATTCTACTTACAATTTTCATACAGCGTGAACTACGTTTGGCTATGGCACCGAAATATATAACTGAAACTGAAGATATTACAATACTCATAATTATGACAGCCTTTGGCACTAGTTTTACGGTATCATTGATGAATACTTCTATGTTAGGTATGTACGATTGTGCGACAATTCCAATAGCCAATAGGGCATTACTGCCAATCTATATTAATAAAAATCTATTAATATTTTCAATGCCTGTAAATTGAGCTGAAGGAAATTTATGCTTAAATCTAGAGTTTTTTTACATCGGAATCACATTAAAATAACTGTTCAAGTATGTTTGAAAAATTACAAAAGTTAACTACTTGCGCTTAAATCGTTTTACAAGCGAGCTGTTCTTTAATGCACCGATGAAATTCTAAGGAAGACTAAATTAATTCACATTTTTTACATTTTACTTTCAAATGCGGATTATAACGTTCAATTCTTTAAATGTATTTGGTAAATTCGTACTTGTCAGTCATTGTTAACGAACTGACAGCAAAAAAAAAAAAAGTTGAACCACTGATGATCACGTACAAAGACAAGCACCAAAACACGAACAGTGACAAGAACACTGGAGTTGGTATAATTGAATCTCATCTACGTTTTGGTGACTAGTGTTTCAAAATAGAAGCAATGATATCTGATTTAGCAACTGATTTTGGAAACACGATTCCTTTCAAATTTAGTTTTAGAATTGACTGAATTCAGTTCGTATGTAATAGCTTTGGAGATTGTTTTCTGTTGCTAACCAACATTGTTTATAAATATACTATACAAGCAGAACTGTTAAGCTGGACTCGAGCAAAGATTGAAAGATGTAAACTGAACTGCTGCATACGGTTTGTAAGTATCCAAAATCCCAGCTTAAGTTTATGGCAGAGTTTTCCCGTGATATTCATCAAGGATACGATATGATCAGGATTTTAAATAACTTAAGACATTCACCAACATAAGCTTAAATTCCACATCAGTGGTAGCTCATGGCATCTAAACGGAGATGCTGTCGCAAGAGGGCACATGGCATGAATCCCTAATAGAATCAATAGTTCTGATTTCGTGTAATGTTTTGATTGGTTCCGATTTTCATAAAAATATTAATTTTAAATTTAAATTAATCAAAATTGGCATTTGAGTGTAGTAAAGTGGGTTAAGCGAAAACAACTCAAATAAAATTTTTAAAATATTGACTTACAAGAAGAAGAATATCTGAAATATAAAGTATAGTTCGAGGATTTGAAGAATCGTTGTCGCTTTCATCGCTGTCTTCCATTATATTATGCCTTAAATAATCAACTAGTAAATAACTTTAAATAATAAGTAAATTGAATATTCTAGCCATAAAATTATCAAAATTCAATATGTTAGTATGTAATTTATTATGCAATAATATAATCATTAATTAACAATGAAATTATACGTCAATGGCGTTATAAATTAAATATCTTAAATAATCGTTTTAAATAATTCATTTATTTTTATAAAGTATTGCNGTGTTGTATGCTGTTTCGGACCAAAAATCGATGCCCGCGGTCGCGTTACACATGTGGTCGTTTAATACAGGTAACTTATACGAAGACTCTATGGATAAACTATTCCGTGCCAGAAATTTTTGCCCGTTTTGACAGGTGCCCGTCGAATACAGGTGGTCGCCTAAGCAGTTTCACACTGTACATACTTTTGTGAGTATACTGTTTCGATTTCGGGGGAATTTTTTTGTTTGAAATTTGGCCGCTAGGGCGAAATTTAGCACTGCTGTTTCCTTGATGTAAATATGTGTTTTTAAATGCTAGATTAATACTTTAGAAATTTTGGCGCTTAAAAGGTTTACGAAGAGGTCCTCTCTATTGGAAATCTTAAGAAAATGATTCTGTGTTTTGAGGAGATTGAAACTTTCGCAGTTAAGAGCAGTTAAGCAGCGCAAAATTTTACCCTATTAAACTTTTTCTAAATTCGAAACCGCATACTCAGGACAGTATGTACAGTACACCAAATTTGGGTGAGAGTGCCCAACAGTTCTTCTTACAGAGATATCTGAACTCCTCTTTAATTATGATAACGCTTAGCCAGCAAAACATAGTGTAATATAATTAAACCAGATTTTTAACCTAATCTTAATTTACGGCACTGTACTTATGGTAAATAAGATACGACAGCTCACGTTACAACGATTTTTCAAAACTAATCATGTCGTAAAACACGAATTTATTATATTTATCTGTTTAAATTGTCGACGTGTTAGAGATCATTTAATATAAATCTAATCCTCAAAGATTGATTTCTTTCTGTTACCTCTGTTAATAATCTGTTTAATAAGAAACAACACTCGAGCCCACCAGGAACCATTAATTAAACATGCATCGCTAATGGGCTGGCCACATCGCTTAGTCTAATAACGGACAAGACTACATCGGAGAAAAGGCGATCCAGCCAGAATCTCTATATCAGAGAAGAAAGAAAGAAAGATGGGCTGGCCATGTGGAGTTTTCTGGGTTTTCTTCACGAGTCGCGTTGCCATATACCAACAACAATAAGAAACAATACTTGAGTATTCATTACTACTTTATTTAATATATTAAATCTTATGTTTAGCGTTTATTTTTCATTATTATAATTTACGAACTTTCGGAACTTTCCGAAGATGTATCTTTCATATTTTTTTGATAGTAAAATCCATAAAGAGAACATAGGATCTATATTAAAAGAATAAATTTATTTATAAATGTATAATTTACTATACAAAAATAGTATAAAATTTGTATATTTACCTCAAGAACGCAAACTAGAAAAATTATTATTCCTGTCAGAATTATTCCGGTATTTAAAACATTTTTTATTTTTATATAGCATCCAATTTTAAACACTTCCTGAAAACAGTAATTAAAAATATGTACAAAGTTATAAATAAGTTTTACAAAGGGACTGTCCATTAATTATGTGTGCAATTTTTTAGCCATTTTTTAAGCCCTCCCTGTCGTGTACAATGATGTATTTTGATAAACACTTTACATGGAACGTCTGACATTGAAGAAATAACAGAAAGTATTTACAAAATTTGATAGTTTATTCACATGACTATTAAGTAGACTTAATAGTCATGTGAATAAACTATCAAATTTATCAAACTATCAAATTTAGACTTATAAGAACAAATTCATGTCACTAATACCATTAGAAAATGGCCACGTACACAATATCTTGACCTCCCTCTCTCAAACTGTACACATAATTAATGAACGGTCCCAATAAATATAAATATAAGGCTTTGATAGAGACATATGTTTGTTTCTATCAAATCCTTCGTTAGTTTCTAGTAATTAAATATTTATAATAGGGAATATTGGGGTCGTGAAAGGTAAGAATCTCTTTAATGTTCGTAGTTTGACACGGATATATCGAGATCATTTTCTCACCACCCGTCCACCCCTATTATGGCTTGGAAAAAGCCATTAATCCCAGCAAGATAAAAATAATTTAGAAAAGAAATTATAAAATAAATACTCTAAATATTTATTTAATATTTACAAAAATCAATTTACATCGTCTGTTAGTTGACAGTTTCTTCTACCTATACCATAACAACAAGACGGTGGTAGGTCATCATATTTATAAATACGAGTCCAATCAGTGTAATTACTAATTCCACAACATTGATTCTAAAAATGTGATGTAAAATTTTAAATATTTTATATAATTTGTATTGTGATTTTAACATTATTATACATTAACTTATGCATATTTTCAATGGACTTACATTTGTGTGAAATTCATCTATCTTTTTTTTTATATTCTCATCTGATAGATAAGATTTTATCGTTTCTTCGAGATGATTTTTAATGTGAAGTTCTGCCTAATTAAAAAATAATAAAAAATTTCACAATTCAAAAAAATTTATATTACAACATATATTTTATGGATTAAAATTTAAAATGTAATTCTCACTTCTTTCCTTTTCAAGAATATTGTAACTCCTATTGCAAGTTGGCCGATGAAAATCATTATCAGAAATAAACAACACTTGAAACATAAAATATTTATTGTATATATTTTATTTATATAAAAATATATCTGGAAAAAAATATTCTACTTACAATTTTCATACAGCGTGAACTACGTTTGGCTATGGCACCGAAATATATAACTGAAACTGAAGATATTACAATACTCATAATTATGACAGCCTTTGGCACTAGTTTTACGGTATCATTGATGAATACTTCTATGTTAGGTATGTACGATTGTGCGACAATTCCAATAGCCAATAGGGCATTACTGCCAATCTATATTAATAAAAATCTATTAATATTTTCAATGCCTGTAAATTGAGCTGAAGGAAATTTATGCTTAAATCTAGAGTTTTTTTACATCGGAATCACATTAAAATAACTGTTCAAGTATGTTTGAAAAATTACAAAAGTTAACTACTTGCGCTTAAATCGTTTTACAAGCGAGCTGTTCTTTAATGCACCGATGAAATTCTAAGGAAGACTAAATTAATTCACATTTTTTACATTTTACTTTCAAATGCGGATTATAACGTTCAATTCTTTAAATGTATTTGGTAAATTCGTACTTGTCAGTCATTGTTAACGAACTGACAGCAAAAAAAAAAAAGTTGAACCACTGATGATCACGTACAAAGACAAGCACCAAAACACGAACAGTGACAAGAACACTGGAGTTGGTATAATTGAATCTCATCTACGTTTTGGTGACTAGTGTTTCAAAATAGAAGCAATGATATCTGATTTAGCAACTGATTTTGGAAACACGATTCCTTTCAAATTTAGTTTTAGAATTGACTGAATTCAGTTCGTATGTAATAGCTTTGGAGATTGTTTTCTGTTGCTAACCAACATTGTTTATAAATATACTATACAAGCAGAACTGTTAAGCTGGACTCGAGCAAAGATTGAAAGATGTAAACTGAACTGCTGCATACGGTTTGTAAGTATCCAAAATCCCAGCTTAAGTTTATGGCAGAGTTTTCCCGTGATATTCATCAAGGATACGATATGATCAGGATTTTAAATAACTTAAGACATTCACCAACATAAGCTTAAATTCCACATCAGTGGTAGCTCATGGCATCTAAACGGAGATGCTGTCGCAAGAGGGCACATGGCATGAATCCCTAATAGAATCAATAGTTCTGATTTCGTGTAATGTTTTGATTGGTTCCGATTTTCATAAAAATATTAATTTTAAATTTAAATTAATCAAAATTGGCATTTGAGTGTAGTAAAGTGGGTTAAGCGAAAACAACTCAAATAAAATTTTTAAAATATTGACTTACAAGAAGAAGAATATCTGAAATATAAAGTATAGTTCGAGGATTTGAAGAATCGTTGTCGCTTTCATCGCTGTCTTCCATTATATTATGCCTTAAATAATCAACTAGTAAATAACTTTAAATAATAAGTAAATTGAATATTCTAGCCATAAAATTATCAAAATTCAATATGTTAGTATGTAATTTATTATGCAATAATATAATCATTAATTAACAATGAAATTATACGTCAATGGCGTTATAAATTAAATATCTTAAATAATCGTTTTAAATAATTCATTTATTTTTATAAAGTATTGCGGAATACATAATTAATTTCAGAATTGTTAAATTATATATAAATACATAATTTAATAATTTCTGAATATTTTAATTTCATACAATTACTTAGCGAGGGCCTAGATGAATTTTTAAGTATTCTTTATAATTATTATTAATTTTATTTATTTTATATAATTAAATGTTATAAAGTTTCTCATTTAAGTAACTTTATTCAAATTTGACTATTGCTTGAAAGTTATATTTAAATTGAATGTGTTCACATCGGTCTTCACTTTATAACTCAAAATGGCGTATAAAAATTAAATTTTAAGTTTTCTTCGCAAAAGCGTAATTATGGCTTATTAGATAATTATATAATTTATAAACGAAGGACTGAAAAGAAGGGCATTATGTCATGTTAACGTTATCTAAATGATTATATGGAATAACATAAGCATTTTTCATTAGTAAACATTAGTGTTGTAACGAATAGTATATTCGGCCTCAGGCCGAATACCGAATATTCGGCCAGGAGCGTGGCCGAATAGCCGAATATTCGGTCAAACTATTCGGCTTGATTAACGCACGTACGAAAATTGGCGCGCAAACCGCATTATGGCAAGGATCCTGCTCTCTATTGGCCCGCTGTCACTACGCTTCGCCAATCGCGTTAATTCTTGGCAGTTGTAGCCGACAGACAAGAGTGTCATGGCAGTATGTGATAAATGATGATATCAAATGACCTACACTTGTAAATAACGGAAAAATAACAGAGAAGGACCGCGAAGTGAAAATATGAAAATAAATATGAAATTGAGTTGATAACATAATCTAACAAGTCGAGGCAGCTTATTGGCACGNAGTACAAAATGTTTCTTTTTCCGGTTTAAAAAATACTCAAAAAGGCATTTAGCAACGAGGCCATGTAGAGAAGCTTCACACATTCGGTGTCTAGTCGTTTCTCCTTGTTACGAGGAAAAATCCTATTCTTTTTTATAGAAGCCGAGATAGGATTTGTCCCAATAAGAATAACCCAATGTACCGTCTTGCACCGCCGATACCAGGCAGCGGTGCGTGATGATTACGTCATAGAATAGCTCACTATTGATTACCTATACTCTCGTGCACTTGTATTTCGCTAATATGTAGAAGAAGCAAGATGTAGCTTTATTTAATTTTTTTTTAGCTAAATCCTGTATAATTTACTAATAAAATAACTCTCATGTTACAAGTTTTTTCAGATGTTATTATTCGCACTTATATTTTAAGCAATTTGTAACTAGAATTTCTCCTATTTTTTTTTTAAGGAAAACTAAATTTAAAATGTAAAACTTTACATAAATATAATAAATGAATTTCAGTAAATAATTAAATTTATAATAGCTTTAATTTATTTATAACGAGATAAAAGTGCGAAAAACTTCAATTTTTCGTAAGTCAAATTTTGAAACTATTTAATAAATATTAAAAAATTCATTTATAAGTTCATTTTTTGATATATTTTAAATACATTGCAAATTATTTATTTCTGTAACAATGAAAAAACAGCAATGATTTAAATTTGTTTTATTATCCTACAAAGTTAAATAAAATTAATAAATTTTTAAGCGCATTAGAACCCCTACTTTACGACCTATCACTTTACAATATCCTTTTTACTCGTATCAATTTTCTGGCTGATTGAAATGCCCTATTTTATGTTAGCCTTCTTTGTGTTTTACTATGTAATTAAAGTTTTTCTGGAAATATAATCTCAATTTGTAATATATAGCTTAAGAAATACGTGGTTCATTTTACGACAGCATTCCAAAGACTGTTACTATAATCAATACGAAAAAAAGTTAAGAAGAAACTGTTGAAATTTCTTCATATTTTATTTTATTTGTAACATTACAGTGTCTGAGCGTTGATATTTTATATATTCGTATTATTTATTGTGTGATATCAGCGCAATATTTGTAAATTATTGATAAAACTAATAAATATGTGCTCTTCAAATAATATATACTTTATATTTTATATTTTAACCTGTATATCTTTTATACATTTAAATAATATTGCAATAAATTGATAAATTCTGTATACATGACTATGAAAAACGACATTTTTGTAAAAAATACGTCGAATATTCAAATATATTGATATATAATTTGATATGAACTGTAAATTTATTGATCGGACAATTTAATAATTTTACAAATACATTATTTTAAGAAGAAGCAATATCATTACCTCAAGTAGACCTACTATAGAATTCGTTACGACGTACATATATATTGCTATATCCACATAAAACAACAATCTATTGTAGCATCCTTGTTGAAATACTTTTTTCTAAAAATAATAATTATTATTTTGAATATTTTACTAAAAATTTATTAATTTATAATTTTAAAATTTAAATATATATATTAATCAGTTACATATCCTCTCAATGAAGGACTACATGGTTCTGTACCAAAGCCATAACAACACGATTCTGGTAAAATCATAGTCCTTAAAGCCAATAACCAATCGGTTAAAGTTTCAACTCCACAACACGCTTTCTAAAAACAAAACAAAAAAGATATTTTTATGTTATTTATGTATTTGTATAAAGTATGCCAATTTTTGTATAAAGCAGTGATTCCCAAAATGGGCCCCTTAGATCTTCTACCGCTCTCAAGGGGCTACTGTTCCTTTGAAGATCCAAGGGGGTGCTGGAAGGCAAAGGAGGTAAGGGTGGTGGATGATAAGAGGGATTAAAATTCATTCTGAAGCAAACAAATATACAATGGTAGTCGAAAAAGTTTGGGAAACACTGTCTAAAGAGATCGACTGACGGTTGATTGAAATTTATCCCATTCGTGTTTGGTTGTGTTATCTTTCGAATAATTTTTCATCGATTCGTGCATTTTCTCAGCAATTATATAATAAATCTGAAAAAATCATGTTTAATTAAAGAAATCATCTGTTAATCTGTTAATCTGAAAATCATTCTCACCTTCTCTTTATTTCTAACCAATGCGATTCCTATCGAAATCTGTACAATTAACAGCCAAGAAAGAATTATACTAATCTAAAAAAAACGAGAATTTTTTTTCAAATCATAATTTACGTTTAATAACATGAGTTCTCACCGTTATTATGCAGCACGCATTTCTGCAACAAGCTGCACAATTTGATAGAAAAGACAGGATGGAAATTGCACCACCGATAACCATGACACATAAGGGAAGAAGACGCAAGACGTTATTTACGAAACTTGATTTGCTCGCTATTTCTTCTCGTACTAGTTTACCACTCATGAATATCACAACACCTCCAAACTGCAGATGTATTAAAATATTTTAAAGATTTGTATAATAAAGACTATAAGTTTAGAATATACTCGTAAGATTACATTACTAATTTAATCATTTATAAAGTAATTTATTAACTAAATAATCCAAAATATTAACACATTTTAAGGCTATTTGGCCGTACACAATTATTGTGATTAAGCATGGGGTCAACTCGCAATGTCATGGGTGAGGAATGAAGAACGATGGTGTTGCATTTTATTTGCATTGTTATAAATATATTGAAATATGTAATCAAGTAGTATTTTATATATAATTTTTGTTATCTCTATATGATACGTTATGTTATGTTAAGCGTTAGTATTAATACTAACCATGAGTAGAGTATCAACAATAAATGTAACACAACGAGCCACTGAAAATTCTTCTCCAAACCACCTTCCATTGCACATATTTCAATATTATTTCTTTACTTATACTAAATTGAAATAAAACAATTATTTACATTTATATTATTTAATAATAAACGTTTAATAATCGAAATGACAAGGAATAATCTCCCATTGTAGGCTCAATTTAGAATTGTTTTTGTATTTAGTTAGATTTTACTAAGATTATAAAAATATGAAAAAAGGGAGAGAAACGGCATTTATCTTCAAATAAAATATTAAGCTTAAGGTATTTTAGTGATAATGTTAGAAGGAGCTTAATATTAAGCTTGTTAATCTTACGAAGGAGCCAAATTGATTCGTTATGACTTCATTTTATGATATTAACTTCAAAATGCTACGTTTTACATTGAATAAATTAATAAACATTTAATACGAATAAATTAGAAAAAAATCCAGGAAAATTTTAAATGTGGATATTAGAAAAATTAACAATAAAGTTCGAGTGTTTGTAATTTTACCATCAAATTTGAATAGTGGGAATGAAATAAAGCTATAGACCATTAATCGTTTTTAATAGTAATTGGAGGTTAAAAAGTCCACATCGCCTTGCGAGATTTTCAACTTAATAATAAGATCAAATAGATGACTAATGAATAATTAATGAAATATAGTTATCTTTATACTTTACATATTAAAAATGTGGGAAGTTAAATAATAAGATGCTAAGACAGAAACATATGAGAAAACTCGGAATATAATTTTCCTGTATAAACAAAAATAAATTATAATCAACACTGAAATGATTACGTTTATAAATGAATATTTCTTCTGAAATTCCTATCATTGGGCTGAACTTTTCAAAGTTGCAGACCTATAAATTCTCACCTGTGTCTAGTATTCTGTCTGTCCTTTCTTAATCTCGAGAAGAGTGTTAGATAGATAAAAGTCGAGATCAGATATGGAAAGCTTAGAGGCAAGAGGCTCGATTAATTATATACGGACTTCCGATTTGGACTTCTTTTTTAAGCAGGGCCAAGCCTTTGTACTTTGTGAACATCTAGGTTGGACTTTAGACTATGTTTCTCGGCCAAAAAAAATCTTAGAAAATTGTTTTCGCACAATTTTTTGAGTCGATTATGAACAGTTTTTTTATTGTAACAGTACTTAAAATTCAATTTAAAGTTTTTTATTTATATACATTACACATAAACGCGAATTAGCTTTTGAATAAGTATTCTATAACTGTCTTAAGAGTTAATT